TTTTCCACCACTTGATTATTAATTCTCCACCAAGACCCACCACAGGGGGCTGGAGACTTGAGGTTGGAGACCTCATTCATTACAATGTGATTAATTACAGCCCCACACCTCCACCCCACTCTCCGGTCTGTAAAAGGACATCTCCATCAGTCCCTCCATGACTGAGCCTGACAGTGGAAGAAAGAGGGACTTGAGTGAGCTACCTAAGATCAGACTCCAAGCTAATGGCTGAATCAGGGTTTGAACTTAGGAATTTGAACAGCAGCCTTACATAGTTAATAACCAATATGTTACAGTGCCTCTCTACATATTTAGATAGGGCCTCTCAAACAATTTTATACAGTCTGCATCGCAGGACATTGTAAGAAATGGCTGTGTCAAACAGACTATTCAATGCCTACATGATATGGAGAATATGGTCCACGCATTTAGACAGCACCCCCTTTGGGAGAACAAGGAGAGAAAAATTCCCCAAGTCTCATTATCAAGAAAAGCTATGCTGCTCCTAGGCAATGATTTGTCTTATGTTAAGGTCACCATGAATTGTGAAACTGTGGCACTGATCGTGCTTTCTTCTGTACTGTGACTAAGATCAAACCAGTCAACCCTAAAGGAAGTCAACCCTGAATATTCATTGGGAGGACTGATGCTGAAGCTGAAACTCCAATACTTTGGCCACGTGATGTGAACAGCCAATTCATTGGAAAAGACCCTGATGCTGGCAAAGATTGAGGATGGGAGGAGGATGGAACAATAGAGGATGAGATAATTGTATGGAATCATTGACTCAATGGACATGAGTTTGAGCAAGCTCCAGGAGATGGTGAAGGACAGGGAAGCCTGGTGTGCTGCAGTCCATGGGGTCTAAAAGAGTCGGACACATCTGAGTGACAGAACAACAACTAGAAAGCTTAATTTTGCTCAACTTTCCTCTAAAAATTGGGGCTTGCACTTGACATATTAAAGCATCCTCTTTCTCCTCTTTGCCTCAATATCCTTACTTTTTCATGTGTTATCTGATTGAATTGAATGCCCCACTGTATGTGTACTCAAACCTTTCTGGAATGCAGTGGTAGGCCACACAGACAGACAGACATTTTTATGAACTTTTGAAGTGTTGTGCTTCCTAGAAATTGAAATGCACATGTCTAGGTTGAAATGGCAGCATATTAGCAGCCTCCTATCCTAACTTCCCATTCAACAAATAATGAAAGACACTGCCCTTATAAAATGCAAACAAAGCAAAAGTAACAAAAGCAACTGGTACTAGGAATGAAATCTAAAGTTAAGTTCACATGCAAAGTCTTAGAACACTTATTGAGAACAGGATCCTGGGAGAGCAGAAAGGAAAGATGTCCTGGGAAAAGCAGAATAAATATTTTAAAAATGTAAAAAAGGAGTTCAGTCAGCTCTCACCTCTTGCTTTTTCTAGTAGAATACAGAAATCAGATTCCTCTATTACTTTAGAACTATTTTCTGAAATACTTCCCTTCCCTCACTTTCCCTTCAGGATTTTTTAGTTTAAGAATTTGACAGTAAGAAAGTAATCATATAAAGGAATTGGTAGTAAACATCGACACTGGTGAAAAATCCAGAGAGAAATAAAATAACATAAGAATTGAGGATAAAGCCAAAACAGCTCTTAAAAATTTATTTGGGGAAAATAGAAAGAGGGGTGAGGCTCTACAAACTGAGTCTAAAATTCCTAAGTAGGACTTCCCTGCTAGTAGAGTGGAAAAGAATCTGCCTACCAATGGCAGGGGACACAGGTTCGATACCTGGTCTGGGAAGATTCCACATGCTGCGGGCAACTAAATAAAGCCTGTACGTCGCAACTACTGAGCCCAGGCCCCAGAACCTGCAAGCCACGCTACTGAAGCCCCTGTGCCTAGAGACTGTGCTCTCCAACAAGAGAAGCCACCACAATGAGAAGCCTGTACATGACTACGAAGAGTAGCCCCCACTCGCCACAACTAGAGAAAGTCTGTTCAAGGCAGCAAAGACCCAGCATCACCAAAAATAAACAAACACTTTGAAAAAATGAAAGTCCTAATTAAATGTATAAATGTGGGAATGGAAAAGGCAGGGAGAACTACAGACATTTTAAATTCCATGATATACATCAGAGTAGGGGGAAATATACCTTTCAAATTACTATAGATGAAAAGGACAAAATATATAGCAAAAGACACAAACCAATAAGTGAAATGGTTAACAAAGACAGCCTGTCAAAATATGAGAAGAAATGATAGGAAAAGGACTGAACTTGTCAGTATTAAAAAGAAATAAAAATAGTTTTGCTCCACACCTGAAATAAAAGACAGAAACTCAAACTGAGTTAAAGAAGAGAGCATCCAGGTGCATGTTTCTTATAACAGTGAGACCAAAATTAAATTACAGAGAAAGAATAAGATTAAGAAGATAGAGTAAAATATATCAGCCAAACAGAAATAAGCAGAGGCAACCCTGATACTATCAAAGGAAACTTCAAAGCAAAAAGGATTCTATGAAACAAAAAGGACTCTTTCAGGACCCTTTTATTTAAAAACAAGGTGAAATCCTAACTATGAAATAGTCCTGAGCGTTTATGAACTGATTAAGATAACATCAAAATCTAAATAGCATGAAAACTAAGACTATTAAAAGCAAACAAAATCAAGGAAAAACATTTACTATAGCAAAAAATTATTTGATATTTAAGAAGAGACAAAACTACAGTCTACAGAGAGATACTATAATACCAATATCATTTATGACAGAGCAAGTTGATAAAATAAGAGGATATATCTAGTTTGAATAATGTATAATTAGAAAAAAGTGAATTAGTAGATGGAACAAAATTTTATGCCATAGACTTTCTTTTAAATCCCACTGACGATTTTTTAAAATTCAGCACATGCCAAGGCATAAAGGACATCAACAAAGTTGATAAAATATAAATTACAAAAGCCATATTTTCATTTCTTCATTATAATCCACCAAAACTAGAACTCATAAGCAAAATGAACTCTCAAAATAACTGTCAGGCAAAAAAATAAACACAACCCAAGACTACAATGAAAAATTCTTTAGAGTTGTACTTTTCAATTGCTCAGTGTAGTAGCCACTTGTAACATGTAGTTATTTACATCTAAATTAAGTAAAAGTAAATAAACTTAAGAATTCAGTTCCTCAGTCACACTAGCCACATTTCAAGTGCTCAACAGCCTCATGGAGCTATTGATTGCCATACCAGATAAAGAAGATATTTTTACACATATCCATCATCACCAAAAGCTCTATTGAACAAGCACTGCTTTTAGAGAACACATTTTATGATCATAAGCACTTTATAAGAAAACATGGTTTTGAAAACCTCTCTATTGAAAATAAATACAGACCAATGACAAATTGGGATGGATATTTAAAACAAAAGGGGGCCACTTAGTTAATATTTAATAGAAAAAACTCTCATAAAAATATAACAGAAAATACTGACATCCTAAGATAAAAATGTAACAAAGATATGACCCAACAATTCACCAAGATGGAAATACTAATTAATAAAATAAGTGTATGAAAAATATTAAACCTAATCAATAAATTAACATTTTTCAACTATCAATTAGTAATGATAAACAATTAGGTGGGAATATAAATTTGGTGTAGCCACTATCGAGAACAGAATGAAGCTTCCTTAAAAAAATTAAAAATAGACTTACCTTACGATCCAACAGTCCCACTCCTATGCATATATCTGGAAAAAACTCTTAATTCAAAAAGATAATGTACCTCAATGTTCAAAGCAGAACTTCAATGTTCAAAGCACAATGATTTACAGTAGCCAAGACATGGAAGCAATCTAAATAGCCATCAACAGATGAATGGATAAAGATGTGGTACATACATACAATGGAATATTAGCCATAAAAAACAAATAAATAAAAAAAAGAATACCATTTCTAACAACACGAGTGGATCTAGAGATTCTCATACTAACTGAAGTAAGTCAAAGACAAATATCATATGATGTCACTTATATGTGAAATCTTAAACAAATGATACAAATGAACTTACTGACAAAACAGAAATAGACTCAAATACAGCAAACAAATTTATGGTTACCAAAGGGAAAAGTTGGGGGAAGCCAAATTTGGAATTTGGGATTAGCAGATACATTACTATATATAAAATAAACTATATATATATAAAATACTATACTATACTATTTTATACAGTACATAAAATAAACAACAAGGACGTACTGTACGCACAGGGAACCATATTAAATATCTCCTAATAACCTATACTAGAAAAGAACCTAAAAAAGAATACATATATTTATATATATATGTATAACTGAATCACTTTGATGTATACCTGAAGTATTGTAAATCAACTATACTTCAATAAAAATTAAAAAAATATAAACATTAAAAAATTATAGTTTATGCTAATAAGAGTATGATGAGATGGTGAGTCATCTGTTAAAGACAAAAAAATAAATACATTTGATAAAATCATTCTAAAAAAACCCCCTGATTCAGTCCTCCAGGAGCAGTGGTAATTTTAAAAAAATACATTGCCTTAATGCCCCCCTCCATCCCGGCACCACCACACACATACAGATCCTTATCTAATTGACTTGGGATGAAGCCTGGATATGGATTTTTTTTAAACTTATGGAGAGAGTGACTTGCTGATCAAGCTGAGAACATTACTCCAGAGACAACTTCAAGGTCTAGGATACAACAGAAATCCTATTTGAACTCAGGACTTGAAGAATAGGGTCCCAGTGTCTGGCTTCCCATATGGAGCTCTACCAGGTAGCCAACTGACCGAGTTCCCAATATATCCATGTTCTGGGAACTTGGCAAAGAAAGAAGGCTGCAAGGGAATCAAGGGAGAGGGGCACTAAGACACACCCTTTGCCCCAGACTGGCACAGCAGAGCAGGCGCTTTATTATGTGTTTTCATAAAGGTAATCAAAGTCACATTAGAAAAAAAAAGAGTCGACATACCTGGAGTGGTCAAAACAACAGGGCATGTCAGCAGCTATGGGCATGGTCCCTGGAGAGCAGGCAAGACCCAAGACTTTCTCGTTAATGCAGGAACCAGATGCTTTCCGCTGATGCCTTGAAAACTCTATAAATCCCTAGAAGCTGGATGAGATCCCAGGTTAAAAGCAAGAGAGAGGCAACAGAATTGAGTGTCCTGAATTGATCGAGAATAAGATTAAATTTCTTTCACATTGGATTTGACCTTAAAAATAAGAGGTTGTGGCCTGAGGTATCTGTACTCACTCACTATACACATCACTTAGCTTAACCATCAAAAAGTCCTGATAGGCAAACCTGTTATAATCCGAGGTTTATGGATGAGAGCGCGTTGATTCAGATAGAAAGCAATTTACATTTCTAACATTTTTTTGCCTTATATACTTTGATGTTATATGATTCAATTTCTAAGCGTTCATGACTGTTACCCCTTGGTAATAGGATGCGCCTATTTCAATGGAAAAGGGTGTTTTACGTATCATTTAATGATTGTTATCTTGACCTCTTATTTTGTCTGATTATAAAATTGCTACTCTGCTATTTTTCTAATTTGTGTGATGTTTCCTTTCTATGCTTCTGTAAGCGTGTCTGTTAGGTACCACTAACTTTTCTACAGTCACAGGTAATCTGGGAAGGGAGGGAAGGAAGGAGGAAGATAAAAAAGAAAGAAAAGAAGGAAGAAGGGAAGGGGAGGGGAGGGGAGGGGAATCCAGTCATAGTGAGAGGGTGGTTTTTTTTTTAATGTTTCAGTATAAGTAGGAAAAAAACTAAGAAAATAACTGTTTGAATAATACAATTGATATGATTGAATTTATATAATACATACCTCAGATTTCTGTGCCCTACAAAAGAAAACACATTTTTTTCCAATACTCATTCATGGTAAAATGTATGGTAATTCAGGAATTAAATGAAAATTCTTTTTTTCAAAGGTGCTTATCTGCCAAAAATCTACAGCAAATTTCACACTTAATATAATGAAGCATTAGAAATATTCCTTTTAAAATAAGAAGTGAGACAAGGATGTCCATTATCATTGTTTCCACTCAACACTGAATTTAGAAGTTCTCTTCAGGGAAGTTTTTAAAAGAAGAAAATGATGAAATGAAATTTTCAAAAGAGAATAATAATAGGAATGTAAAGAAGGGAAAAAATTTTCATTTTTCATGATGGAATCCTGGATGGAATCCTGAAATAATCTCTAAATATACTGTTAGAATAAATAATACATAACTATAGGAATGAATTGCATCCCATATGTCAGTCATAGAAAATATTCTAAAGAATATTCCACTTAAAATGACCAAAATAAAAGATACCTAGGAATAAAACCTAAAGATACATATATCCTTTATGGAGAAAAGTATACAACTTTATTAAAGGAATTAAAGTTTATACAAAGGAAGCATGTTTATAGGAAGGGAGATTCACTATCATAAAGAAAATAAGCCTTCCCAAATTTATGAACTAAATGTGATTCTAATTAACTTCAAATAAGGTATCTGTAAGTTTAAAAAATTCTAAAATTACTTGAAGTAGAGGATTTATGTGACAAAACCAGAACTATGTTCACCAACATAGAACTGTATGTTATTTTTCATACAAAGTTAAAAGCACATTGTATTTCATTCCTGACCACTTGCCAGTCCCCGTTTGTTTGAGAGAGACAAGCTTCATCTTGTCTTCAAGCTTCATCTAAATTATTTCATCTGGCTGACTGTCATTTTTGCTACATGTATTGCTACTTCTGTCTTGGGTATTCCTTTGGAAAAGATGTATGGATTCATTACATATTCTAATGTATTGTCTATAGACTATAAGATAAAGTCAAGCATGTATCTGCTGATATTTTTAAAGTTGACCTGTCTTTATACTTAGAAATGTCTCTTATTAGTAGGCTTCCCTGGTGGCTCAGATGGTAAAGAAACTGCCTGCAATGCAGGAGACCCAGGTTTGTTCCCTGGGTTGGGAAGATCCCTTGGAGAAGGGAATGGCAGCCCACTGTAGTATGCTTGCATGGAGAATTCCATGGAGAGAGGAGCTGGGCAGGCTATAGTCCAATGGGGTCACAAAGAGTTGGCCACGACTGAGCGACTATCACTCACTCAAACTTACTTGGTACAGCAAAATGTGAAGAATAGTCAAGATAATCTTGAGGAAAGTAAAAGTGCACAACTTGTCCTACCAGGTTGTAAGTCTTATTATAAATGTATAGTAAATAAAACAGTAAACATAGAGCAGAAAGCCCAGAAACAGACCCAAGCATTCATGGAAATAATACGTGAGACACGGTCTTAGAGATTAGAGAGAAAAAGAGGTAGAACAACTGGAAAAAAACTAAGCCCTACCTCACACTGTACACAAAAATCCATTGCAGGTATAGACCTAAATTGGAAAGGCAAAATTGGTTAGAAACAGGCATTTAGAATAATATCTAAGGGACTACAGTTACAGTTGACACAGGAAATGAATATATGAGACATAAAAAAAGCAAAGTATCAAGAAAATGGTTGAAACATTTGGCCATATTAAAAACTTCTATTCATTAAAATATAACATTTTTAAAAGGTGAAAAGACACAGCCTTTGAAAAGATATGTGATTCATATCACTAAAGACTTAATTACTAGAATTTATAAATAAATCATGCAAATTGATAATAAAAGAGAATTCAATTTAAAATTGAACAAGACATATATGCAGGCAACTCACCGAAAAGCCATAAATGGCCAAAAAACTCATAAAAAATGTTCAACTTTGGAGAAATCCAAAGCACCACAATAAGTTTACATTATCACCTATTGGATTAGCAGTAAAAAGACTGTCAATCCCACTTGTTGCTAAAGATGTGGGAAAATAAAAACTCTCTTACATATTTGTGAGGGCATATTAGAGTAACAAATGTAGCCATATCTGAAAAGAAAGTGAAAGTGTTAGTTGCTCAGTACTGTCCGACTCTGAATCCATGGATTGTAGACCACCAGGCTCCTCTGTCCATGGGGATTCTCCAGGCAAGAATACTGGAGTTGGTTGCCATTCCCTTCTCCACGGGATCTTCCCGACCCAGGGATCAAATCCGAGTCTCCTGCATTGCAGGCAGAGTCTTTACCACTTGAGCCACCAGGAAGCCCAAAGCCGTAAGTTAAAGATCTATATATAATAACACAGCAATTTCACACACAGATGAGAACGTTTTAGCTGTGCCTTTTATAGTAGAAAAAAATTAGCATTCATCAGCAAGAAAGCGGATAAATTGTGGTACATTCTAACAGTGAAATATTATACAGCAGTGAAAAACCTTAAAACTAAACCAATACAATGTTCATGGAATAAACCCACAAACATAAAGTTGAGAAAAAGTTAATTGATGAATATATACAGTATACTGTTGAAGTCATGGTGAATAAAAGTGTATGTTGTTTAAGGATAGAGACATGTACCAAAAAAGTCTTTATCAAATAGAAGAAAGTCTCCTCTGTGCCAAGATTTTATCATGAATGGGTATTAATCTTTGTTAAATGCGTATGCTACATTAATTGATCTATCATGTAATTTTTATTGTTTAGTCTATTATTATGGTAGACTACATTCGTTCATTCCAACTAGCGAGTGAATCAGCCTTGCTTCCCTGGATTAAACTCTGTTTGGTCATGCTGTATAACTCTTGATGTATCACTCAATTTGTTTTGCTGAAATTTTGTTAAAGTGTTTTTTGCATCTTTTCATGATCTGTCTCATTTTGGTATCAGGGGATATTTGCCTCAGGAAATAGATTGGGAATTGTTCCTTCCTTTTTCACTTTCTGAAAGGGATAATGTAGAATTGGTATGAATTCTTTTGTTAACACTTGGTAAAATTCTCCAGTGAAAGCATCTGGACCTGGGGATTTCTTTTTCATAGTTCAATTAAGAATTCTTTAATTATTCAACTCCTGTAATATATTTATAGGATTATTCAAATGATCTGAGAGAGGGTTCTCAACACTAGGTGGTGGTAAATGTCCTGGCTCTCCACAAAAAAATGCTCTGATACTATCATAGCAGGGAGGAGAAGGTGAGCATCAATACAGCTAGAAAAGGGTGGAAGCATTTGCTCAGATGCTGGGAAAGATTGAGGGAAGGAGAGGAAGGGGGCGACAGAGGATGAGATGGGTGGAGGGCCTCGTCGACTCAATGGGCATGAGTTTGAGCCAACTCCGGGAGATAGTGAAGGACAGGGAAGCCTGGCATGCTGCAGCCCATGGGGTTGCAAAGTCAGACACGACTCAGAGGCTGAACAACAGTTCGCTAACAAGAGCGAGAGTCAGAACGGGACCGTGCCTTTCTTCGCAGCGTTTAGGTGGAGTAAAGCAGTGCTTGTCTAGAAGGTTCCCTTGCTGCTCATCGGCTCCTTCCCTAGTCTTCCAGCTACAGAGAGCAGGCTCTCTGTTGGAACTTTTCTTGTCTGCATCATTAGTGTTGTGGGACTGTAGTCTCTCCAGCGCCCAGGAAAGGAAATGTCTATGACAAAAGGAGACTCAGAGAAATCACCACTATGTCATTACTCAAGCCTCAGTGTCCTCGGGGGCTCTGCCTTCTCCCTTCTATCTCTCAATCTTACATTTTTTTAAGCTGTGCTTAGAAGGAGAAATTTTCAAAAGGCATCTCTTCCATAGTGTCTGAAATTGAAACTGTTATCTTTATACCTTCCAGTATGTCTAAAATATTTCATAATAACATTTAAGAAGATTAGATGATGCTGGTGAATCTTATTCTCTAAGGTTCTTGGGGCATGAGACCCACTCTCTGCACCCCTACTTCTCCAGAGACCATTGCCTCCCTTCTCTGGCTCAGCCTATTACTCTCCTCCGAGTTCCCCCTCCCATCCTCTCCCACCCACCCCCAAGAAAAGAATTTTAACCAATTCCAGTTGAGAATAGGGCTAGGTGGAAGACAGGAGCCAATAGCATATCATGTTACATCCAAATTTGAGTTATAGCAAAGAGGGTTATTGAAGGAGGTTTTGATATTTTTTAAAAAGGAAAACATTAGCAGATTTTGATATTTAAAATATTTAACAATCAGTGCAGTACTATGTGAAGGCTATGGTTCCCATGAACCATCATGCATAGAGGATTCACAGGAGAGGCCATTTGCCAATCCAAAGGGATGTGTTTCAACATTTTAACAACCTGGTTAGTCTTGCTCACACATATCAGCTGAATACCAGCTTCATCTATAACTATTAAAAATTCTTTTTTTTTGCAGATAGCAGGAAGTGAAACTACAAAGATGATGAAAATTGTTTATAAGATTTTCATAATCAGAGTCTAAAAAGAGTAAAGTAAAAGAAATACCTGATACTCTTTATTTCTTCATATTGCTAAAGCAAGTTGAGATATCATGCTGGTCAGAAGTTAAATGGAATGCTATAATTTTTTCATAATGAGAAGAACAAAATATTTCAATCCTGTAAAGTATACACTAATGTTATAAATGGACATGTTGAAATTTTAAGACAACAATTTCCATTGGCTTTATCCCCAAACCACTATGCATGTAGCAAGGCAGAGATCTTAGGAGATTTTTGCCATCTGATATTTCGGAGCAGGAAGCAGCTGGAAGAGTCATTCATAGCAATGGGAAAAACTGAAATTACATTAATAAAAGCTAAGAATAACTTACATTTGAAAAAAGATAGATACTATTCAGAGTATCACAAAAGAAGCTGATTGAGAGAATTAGGGCACATAGAACGTTCTTTTGTAGGTAGTTGGTTGAGTGAGGAATAGCCAGGATGCATGGCCAGGTAAGACAGAGGGACTAGACATGATCAGAGAGAATTTTCCATGTTAAGATCAAACATTGAGTATTGGTCTACTTGCGGCCCTGAGGTATCGGAGGGAGGATGGGTTTGATGTTGGAACCTGGGCGACTGATGGCCGAGACCATGTGTCTTCTGTGTTGGAGAGACCCTTTTCCATGTGGAAATGCTTCTTTATATAGTGCTGTAAAACATTAAGGAAAAAAATACAGTATGTATAGTTAACCCCTTGGTACACTAAACAAAGAAAATAAGCATTGCATGACATAAAAAAACAAAATAATTTTTAGAATGCATTCATAAAAAAACTATGAAAAATTAATCGGGATGGGGAATACATGTAAATCCATGGCTGATTCATGTCAATGTATGACAAAACCCACCTACAGTATTGTAATTAGCCTCCAACTAATAAAAATAAATGAAAAAAAATAAATAAAAAAATAAAATACAATTTTACCAAAATGAAAAATAAAACTATAAAAAATTAATGACATCCAAATAAGAAAAATAGGGATGAAGTTGAGAATACATCGTGTGTGTGGTTAGACAAAACTTGGGTTGAATAGACTTGCCCAATGACCCGAAGGTGTCCACAGCAAGCAATTCCTATGCTACTCTTCTACCCTGCTCATACCCTTTGCAGCAATGCCCTTCACATATTCCTTTTCAATCATATATGAGCAGACTTAACACAGACACAGACACACACACACACACACACACCCATAATCCGCCCCCCCCACACACACACACTCTGAAGTCCTTCTAGAGAAACCTTATCTAATGCTCTTAAGATTGGCTTGTTCACTGAAGATGAGGACCCAGGATGAACCATGGGGCTAGGTCCCTTCAGGGACTGTGGAAGCAAGAGGAGTTTGGAAGACAGAGACTGAAGGTGGAAGCATGCTGGCAACAGAGGAAGCTGCATTCTCAGTGGGCAGAGAAAGCAGTGTGGGAAGAACTAAGAGAGTGAGGCTAGAGGATTCTACAGGAAGTGAGCAAAACAGAATGACCTGTAAGATTGGGAAGACTCAGTTTATCAGGCAAAGCAATGCAATCCCAAAGTTAAAGGCAATATGGGCTTTTTTTTTAAGGTATATTCCCTTGTGGCTCAGCTGGTACAGAATCCGCCTGCAATGCTGGAGACCTAGGTTCGATCCTGAGTTGGGAAGATCCCCTGGAGAAGAGAAAGATTACCCACTCCAGTATCCTGACCTAGAGAATTCAGGGACTATATAGTCCATGGGGGTGCAAAGAGTTGGACATGACCGAGCGACTTTCACCTCCAAGGTATATTCAGAGCAAGAACAGCACACTCCTTAAGAAGATGATATTGTGTTAACAGAGGACAAAAAAAAAAGAAAGAAAACAAAAAGGCTCCTCCTCATGTTCTTCTCTTTTGTTCACCATGGAGATATTTTTTTAAGCTGGAGAGGGTAATAAAAACACCTTAAACAAAGGCCTGTAAGAAGAACGCAGAGAGTAGCAGAGTCAGCCTCCCTCCTCAATCAGTTCATTTTTCACACCCAGGTAAGCTACCTCTCAGGGCGCTGAAAAAAACCGACAGGAGTCATTTTTAGAGAGTCTGGTCTTTGAGAATCCATCCCAAATGATCCAACCAAGTTGTAATGTGGGGCTGAAACCAAAATGACAAAAAGCTGAAGATAAAAGTTGCATTTATATATATAATCAATGGGACATATATTGGATAATAAAAACTTTGGCAGTTTGTGGGGAGAAAAATATTTATGTGTGTGTGTATATATACATATATATATATATGGGTTTAACTGATCCAGAACCAGTAGTGTGTTGTGATTTCTAAGAAGATAACTATGGAAAGATGTTAGCAAGATGGCAGGTTAGGAAGCTCCAGGCCCTTATTCTCCCAGGGAAATGTTAAATGAATAACTAGAGACTAGCTAAAATAACTGTATAGGAGTTCTGGAAATCAGTCAGCAATCCATAGCGACCACGTGAACGCCCAATCATGAAAAAACACATGCACAAGGGTAGGAAATCTAAAGAAGTTTTTACTCATCTTTGCTCTCCCCCTCCCAGGGGGTTAAAGTACAGTTTGGGGGAAGAGAGGTCTGGCTCCCAGCTCCCTCATGAAAGCCAGAGAGAGAGTAATATTCTAACCCATCTAGGGGCAGCCTGACGGGTGTCTGCATCACCTAACTCGGAGTCCAGATGGCTAGCAGTCGGATCTCAGGGTAGGGGAAGCCAGAGCAAGCAGTGGCAGGGCTCCTGGGAAACCCCACAGGAGGCACAGACCTAAAGATGCCTGGGACAAGGGATTCCTACTTGAGGAACACAAGAGAACAGCTAAGACTCCAAGAAGACATTTAGGAAAATTAATACACTCATTTAAAAGCATCTGTGTATACCGGGGACCTGGGAAAAATAGCACCCCTGGAGATCCAGGGAAGGGGCATGCCCCAAAAGAGACTGAAAAGACCTTGATCCCTTAGGCTGGGCTAATCCTGGGCTCAGGACACACCCTGCTAGTTAGTGGAGGGCTTCCCCTGCATGGAGCCAGTCTACACCTTGGGAGAGGTTGCTGCTTTTTCAAACATCCAGTTTTCAACACAAGATCACAATGCAGGTTAAAAAAATAGGAAAACTTGGCCCAATTCAATTTTATTCATTCCATTCATTCATTCTAATTTATTCCAACGGAATAAATCTCAAAACATTCCATTAGAAAACAACCACAATCTTCTATGTGTGTAAAAATTTATAATCATACTACCTGGCACATATCTAGCACTTACCTTCTTTCTTACACCATACCCCATCTTGCTGGTCCTGTATTATCATATTATGTCTCACATAATATATATATATTATAGTAATACAGGATATTACTATATCATTGTGGGACAGATCTTAGGAATTCCAAGGCTCAGACATTAATTGGTTTGCCCAACACTGTGCAGCCAGCCCAGTGTAGAAATGGAACAGGAACCCAGGTCTTTGGATCCCTAATGCAATATTCTTTCCACAGCTCTGCCCCACAGGTAGCATCCCCCCCTTTGTTCTGGCTAGACTAGGTTTGGAATATAGTTTTCAAGTCTAAGGATTCCATTTATAAGGAAGGAGACAGGCAGAGGAGAGGAAATGAGATGGGAAAGGTCTGGGAACATGTCCTATGGGAAGCCAGAACCATGATGGGCCATGGGGGCATGTTTGGCCCAGGGCTCCTGTGTTTCCCCAGGCTTTGAAGTGGCAGCTCACAGCCTTGAAAGGGTTCCCAGAGCACTCCCCACATCCTGTGAGATGACACAGTATGTCCACCTGAGAAGTTGGGATTAGTTCCTGGAATGTGAGACTTGGGACTTGTAAAAAATACATATATTAAGAAACAGAAATCTCAATTAAATGAAGTTGGAGCTGCGGTGTCCTGTGACCATAGCGGAGTCCACCAGGAAGAAGAAAGTCTCCTCTTCTTTCTTGGGACGGACTCAGGCAATGAAAAGCCATGGGCTCTTTGTTTACCGAAGCTCTCCCAACTCCGTTCCCTCCCTGTAGAGAGCTTTCCCCTTCCTTTGCCTTGTGAGGCCTTGCATGTAGATGGTTGTGGTTGCAGACCCCTAATTTTGCAGTTCTCAGCTTGAGCCCCAATAAACCCATCTTTGCTGGAGAAATACCTGGCAGTCTGTTTGTGTCAGGCCGTGTGCTAGGCTCAGCTGGGTCTGACTCTTGTGATCCCATGGACTAGCCTGCCAGGTTCTCTGACCATGGAGTTTTCCAGGCAAGAATACTGGAGTGGGTTGCCATTCCCTCCTCTAGAGGGTCTTGCCGACCCAGGGATTGAATGCACGTCTCTTGCACCTCCTGCATTGGCAGGCGGGTTCTTCACCACTAACTAGTCCAGTAGATTCTAATTCTTATGGTTGATGATCACCCTTATGAGTAAAATCCTTGAAGATACTTGGTCAGCTGTCCTGAAGACACCACCTGAAGAGAAATGGTTAGAAGGTGCCTGATTCAGGACCTTCCTCTGGAGAATGCTACCTACTGTGTCCTCTTGTCACTGGCGAACTAACACATCTGTACCCTCCTTCTGGTTCCCAGGGTCACCTGAGCAAGCAGGCAATCCTCAAGTCTTCTGGGCTCAAGCAGGTCACCCCATCCCATCTCGGGTTGCTCATGGTGGCTCCTTGCCTCCAGGTCCTAGAGAATTCCCCCCAGTATATTCATTCCTCCCATCACTTGCTCACAGAGCCCTGTATGGGCTACTCTCTGCCCTTTCCATTTTCGCCTCCAGCGGTTCAGTCTCCCCACATTGTTTCAGGTCTTTATTCAATGTCCTTTATGAACGGTGCCAGAGACAAAAATGCAATGATCATCCTGTCTGAGCTAGGCAATACACATTCGCAAGTCTGTAGGGCAACTAGGTGCAAAAAGGAGGTGCAGGGGAGTGGGGGCTGAGTCTGATCCTTCAAGCCCTGAACCATCAGGATTCTGCCAGACCCCCGGAGCAGGTCAGTAACATGAAACCTTCTCTGCTTTTCTTCACCTTCACTGAATGGAGCCCAAGCTGCTATTAATAAAATAGCACCTCTCACTCCACAACACTCCTGCAGGTAGTATGGTCAGATGAGCCAAGCAGCAGCATCCACCCTAAATGGCTAAGTAACCCTGGGCACATTCTGGATCTTTTCGAACTTTGTTTCTCATCTGCTACAATGTGGGATAAATAACCCATCCTGCCTCAACGGATGGATTCTCATGTAAAACACTTATTTAATTTTTAAAAATCAGAAAACAGAAAGGCAGTGGAAAATAGATATAATTATAATGTGAATATCTATATGAGAACCATATGTAAATGACTCATACCTTTCAGGGCATGATCCTCAGTATCGTCTACTACTGAGTCTTGGTGTGAATAAATACTGTCTTCTGGAGGCCGAAAAGGCAACTCTTTTGACCATGGACAAGAATGAAGTAATTCAGGATACTGCACAGAATCCCTGGGATCCATGACACTGAAAAATGAAAAATGGATGATATCTTTGAGATGCAAAACCATGAATGGCCATATAACCATTGGGTTGTCGTTGTCAAATTATTCAGTAGTTTGCCAAAGTATCTCTGTTGAGCTTAAATTTTCAACAATACTTAGGCAGTCAAGACCTATTAGCAGATGACATATTAAGTAGTGTATATATTAGCATAAAGTTCTCATCCATTATACAAAAAATCATTGAATATTTGCAAGGAGCATGGTGAGAGGTGCTGGCATCTATAAAACAAGATGAGTCAGGCATGGATCCTGATTCCTAGGATCTTAGCGTATGTGTACATATGTGTGTGTGTATGTTCAGTCACTTAGTCATGTCCAACTCTTTGCAGCCCCATGGAGTGTAGCCTGCCAGGCCCCTCTGTCCATGGAATTTTCCAGGTTATAATACTGGAGTAAGGTGCCATTTCCTTCTCCAGGGGATCTTCCCGACCCAGGGATCGAATCCACATCTCTTGAATCTCCCGCATTGGCAGGTGTAGTCTTTACCACCAAGACACCTGGGAAGCCCTTAGAATCAAGTGCAATTTATACACTTGTGCTATTTCAAGGTCAGAAAAGATGAAAGCATGCTAGGCAGCCTGATCTGGACCATACATTGGGCATAACTGTTGCTAGATGTTAGTTCCCCTTTTAAGGACAAAGCTGGGGTGTGATCTGGATGCCTGGAGTCTCTGCTCCAGGAAAGGCCAGCGCACTTCCTATCAGCAAGCTGCTCTCCTTTGGGTTCTTACCTGTTCCTGCTTCCTCCAGGGCACAGGGGCGTGGGAGGGGGCAAATCCACCGAGGGGGAGCTCATTCCTCAGAGGGAGCACTGTGAACAGCTGAGCTTTGTTCACGGCAAGGTTAATCATTATTTCTTGCATCTATTAATTAGCTTTTATGAACTATTTACTTCTTTTCTTTATTTATGTTTTGAGGCTCTGAATGTTTTCCATATCAATTTATGTGAATACGTACACATTTGTGGGGGAACACAACTCGACTCAAAAGACAGATAGTTTGGTCTCTTATTTTTGGAAAAGAATACCTCTTCATTTAAAACACACACCAAGAGAAGGATCACAGCAAGTTCTGCCTTTCAATTACTGTTCCTTTGTATCAAAGGATGTAGTAAATGAAAATGCTTTGAAAGTCAGAAGTCAAAAAGTGGTGGGGTTGAAAGACACAGGCGTTACCATGTGGTGGGGGCAGACTTAAGTGAAGGTCTGATCCACCCTTCTCACCATGGAACAGTTGATAGATAAGCCCATTGCAGCCTAGTAAGCAATTTTTCATTCTTTTTTTTTTTTTTAATTCTGCTATGGACTGAGCGTTTGTGTCCCTCCCCCACTCTGCCCAAATTTGTATGTTGAAATCCTAACCCCTAATATGATGGGGCAAAGAGATAAGACCTTTGGGAGGTGACTAGGTCCGGAGGTGTAACCTTCCTGAATGGGATTAACGCTCTTATAAGAAATAGCTCAGCTGGTAAAGAATCCGCCTGCAATGCAGGAGACCTGGGTTTGATCCCTGGGTTGGGAGGATCCCCTGGAGAAAGGAAAGGCTATCCACTCCAGTATTCTAGCCTGGAGAATTCCAGGGACTGTGTAGTTCATGGGGTCCCACAAAGAGTCGGACATGACTGAGCAACTTTCAAAAAAAGACAAAAGGCAGCCCACTTCTGCCATGTGGGGACACAGCAAGAAGCCAGCCATCTGCATGCTAGGAAGAGGATCGTCATAAGAACCCAACCACGCTGACCTTTTGATCTCAAACCTCTCAGCTCCAGAACTTTAAGAAATAACTATCTTTTGGTCAAGCCACTCAGCCGATGGTAATTTGTCATAACAGCCTAAACTGAGACATTCCTTCTCTCAGTGTTCCCATCAAGCTACCCAGCTGTACTAAAAACTGAGAGCATGAATAAATGCTCAGAGATCTACAGTTTCAACATTGTCACTATAATGAGTTAATTAATTATAATCTAGAGTATCTAGTATCCAGTGAGACGTGCAGACTTGGGGGAACCATTTAGTGGGGACTCTAGTTTTTTGTTATCAAATTTTTCAAAGGAAACCCAAAATGTTATGACAATAAGACTTAGAAATAAAGGAAGCCATTACTCATTTTTTAGGTTGGCATTCTCATGATGAAACATCACCCTCATAAAATATCCCTTTGCCATGGCAGACTTCTAAAATGACATTTTAAAGTTACATTAATACCTCAAAAATTATAAAATGCTCACTGTTGGAAAATATGGGGAAGAACAAAGAAAATAAAAATTGGCCATAATCCCATCACTAGGAGATAATAACTGAAAATATTTTGGTATATATCTTTTTAGTGTTTTTTGATGTTACATATACATGAATATTTTTTAAAGCTACATTATATGCTGGATATACATTTGCATCTGACTTTCAACACACCATTGATATTATAAGCACTGATTTGTATTTCAGTTCCGTTCAGTCGCTCAGTCTTTGCGACCCCATGGACTGCAGCATTCCAGTCTTCCCTGTCCATCACCAACTCCTGGAGCTTGCTCAAACTCATGTCCATTGAGTTGGTGATGCCATCCAACCATCTCATCCTCTGTTGGCCTCTTCTCATGCCCTCAATATTTCCCAGCATCAGGGTCTTTTCCAATCAATCAGCTCTTCACATCAGGTACCAAAAGTATTGGAGTTTCAGCTTCAGCATCAGTCCTTCCAATGAATATTCAGGACTGATTTCCTTTAGAATGGACTGGTTTGATCTTGCAGTCCAAGGGACTGTCAAGAGTCTTCTCCAACACCACGGTTCAAAGATATCAATTCTTTGGCAGTCAGCTTTCTTTATAGTCCAACTCTCACATCCATACATGACTACTGGAAAAATCATAGCTTTGACTAGATGGACCTTTGGTGGCAAAGTAATGTCTCTGCTTTTTAATATGCTGTCTAGGATGGTCATAACTTTTCTTCCAAGGGGCAAGCATCTTTTAATTTGTATTTAACTCTTTGTAATTTACTTCCCTGGTGGCTCAGATGGTAAAGCATCTGCCTGCAATGTGGGAGACCTGGGTTTGATTCCTGGGTTGGGAAGATCCCCTGGAGAAGGAAATGGCAACCTACTTTAGTACTCTTGCCTGGAAAATCCCTTGGATGGAGGAGCCTGGTAGGCTACAGTACATGGGGTCACAGAGTCAGACACGACTGAGCGACTTCACTTTCACCAAAATTTTATTTTAATATATGGAAGCAATGAGCAACTTAATTGTATTATAGGACTAATTTTTCCAATTTAATGAATATTTCATCAAATTCTCATGGTTGGTTTTTTTTTTTTTAACATTTTAGGATATTAAAAATAAAACACTGATATGCTGTGTAGATGATTTAGAATTTACAGAAAAAAAGATGAAGACAATAAAATAACTGATAATTCTAGAGGAATACCCACTGCTGACGTTTTAGTGTGCTTGCTCCCGGTTACTTCTTGTATATTTTGTTGTCATGCATTCAGAGAGACCAAACCCACAAACTCCTGCTGAAGAGTTCTTTACTTAGTTCTCTATCCCTGCTCTGGCCACAGATGATTAGAAAAAAGATGGTTATCTGACACAGGAGCCACCAATTATAGACTAGCTTGTTACCTATGTTACCTGTGAGGGTTCCAGCTAGAGATTTCCACCCAAGATGACTGACTGAACCAGCCACATCTTTGCCTGAGAAGCATGGATTTAAGACCTATACAGAGACAGTCAACAGTAGTGGCAGGGACAGCTGAAGTAGAAATGGAATGTAATAGAATGCGCACAAAAGTCAAGCACTAAAATCAGTGGGAGGGCCTATATGGAGTTCTCAACCTACACATATCAGGTTTTGAATCACAGTTTGACATATTAATATCGGGACCCAGGAAGAAAAAGACTTTTATAATAAAAATCGAGAGCATCAGCTAGCAAACATTTTCAATTGTACTAATCAGAGATGTGGATTACAAATTACAGACACCAACTCTGGCTAATTTAAATTTCAAAAAGGGAGTCACTAAAAAGCTATTGGGTAGTCTGCAGATTTAATGGAAACCTAGAGAACCAGGCTTTTAAACCTGGCAAGAGCAAAGGTAGGCAGGTGCCCAGAACACAGCCAAGCTGCAGCACAGGGCGCCACTGGTAGACGTCACTGCTTGCGCCTCACGCCGGACTCTGGATTGTTCCACCACTGGTGCCTTGAATGATCTCAAACTGCCCCTGCATCTGTGTGTCATCCCCTCAGGTTTCAAAGTCCCAAAGAGAAGCTTCTTGGGTTCCAGTGAACCTTGATTATAAGGCTGTGCCCTCCCTAGAGGGCTCAGATCTACTCCATTCATATTCCATGGTGGGGCCTGCCTCCCAGCTTCAGGAATCCTCTGAAGTCTAGGGATAAGCACCATGACTGTAACTAACCAGCAGAAAATAATTTATTCTACTCAACAAAACTCAGCTCACCTCTTTTCAGAAGATCCAAAGGGGGCTTTAAAATAATCTCCATAAAGCTCAAAACTTTTCTTGAGTTCTAATGCTGTAAAATAACGTAGATTATTGATGATAGGTGCTGGTACTAGACCCCTGAAATTGGAAAAAAGATCCACAGAATTCTATAGTGATACCAAGCATATACACACACGTTATACCTAAATACTGACTCTTACATCGCAAGTAAATGCATTTGACAGCAAAATCTATTTGGAATAATGTAATGTATACACTTACAAACACATCAGAACTTGTCTTAGACACTGGTATTACATTTTAATTTGTAGATTAAGCAAATTTGTATTTTTCTGAATATTTCTTCTCCATTAAGACATTAATATAGGCAGATTATCTTCCTGTTGGTTAGTGCATATTCTATTGTAAATCCTCACCTATTTGTTAAGTGAAGTCCAGCAGTATATCAACTGCTATAAAAACTGAAATAGATATTTTCCAGTTTTGTTTGTAATCTAATACTTTGAAATAATATCGGAATAAAATATTTATAAAAATTCTGTTTTACTTTCTACTGAACTCTAGTATAAAATATCCTTTTTTCACCTATACCAGCCTATTTTTCCAGACAGAGTGACTTGAAAGAATCATTAACTACTTTTAGTGAATAAATCCTACCGCTATTCACTCTGGACTTACTAAATAAGAATTGCTGTGTGCAAAGTACACAGCATTGTACTGATTGCATATAAATGCATGCAAATTTCAAAGCACCCTTCTGCCCTTGTACGACCCATTAGAGGCTCAGATTTAAAATAACATAGTGTCCACAGCGTGTCAGTAGGCATGGCTGCTCAGCTGGTCAGGGGTCAGACAAGCCCCTACTTTAGCTGGTCTGGGGTATACTGCCTGTCTCCTGACTACCACCTGTGCCCCCTCCTCCAGTAGAACTTTGTATATTCCACACAGCCTGCCTTTAGAATCAGACTATCCAAAGATAGCTTACCAGGATGGAGAAAAGAAATCACACTTTTTTTTTTTGCTACATAGAAGACAAAGATAAAACCTAATTTATATTGGGTTGAAGATTTTCAACAGATAGCTTAAAATTACAGACAATAAAAAGAAGTGAAATTGAAAAACATTTTAAAATGGCTTTTGCATTCTGCTATCTTGAATTACTGCACTTTAAAAAGCTCTTTAAAACACTATAATTAAGGTCTTGTCAGTGCTCTTAGTAACTTTCTGAAAACAGGGGCTTCATTTTACTACTAGAACTTTCCAAAAGGTCACACAGAAAAGAGAATTCAGAATACTGAAGCCTATAACATTCGTGAGAAAATAAAATGCAAACATTTCATAAACATCCTGGTTATTCATTTTGAGTATATCTTAAAGTTGAAATGTGTCTCGTCACATGTGATAATTAATAGTACAGTAATTATTATAGCCACCAATATCTATGAAGCCTCTACTATGCCTCAGAGACTAAGTGAACCATTGCATATTAAGGATGGAGAATTCATGGGTTAATAAAGATACAACGGTCCCCATCCTCATGGAATTTACAGTTTAATGTGGAAAGGAGACATTAAACAAATGATCCCACAAATCATTAACTACTATTGTTTTGAGATTCAGGAAGGACAGGATATTCAACAGGATAAAATTAACCTTCCATCATTAAAGCCTTGGTGAAGGCGGATACTTACATTCAAACATGACCAGAAATATCATCCTTTGCAGTCCTCAAAGACTGTAAAAAAATCATCTGTTTCTAGCAACAGTGAGTATACTGTGCCTTTAAAAACATGTATAAATGAAAGTGAAATACAACTTCTAGAACTAGGTTTACTACCACCAGGTCCATTTTAGTACAAAGGTCCCTGGTTATGCTGACGATTTAGGATTCATCTGGTATACTTGGATACCAAAAAATCAATCTAAAGATGCCCAACTATAAACACACGTGACAAATATCTACCTTTGAAATAGGAACGTGTGCTGAGGAGGTGTGTTTCCCATTAGGGTCTGCCGGGCTGTCTCATACTGTCTCGCCAAAGACTCTCTTTCCTAGGCAAGAAATATGATCTATAATTATATTGATGTTAAAAATATGTCAGATATTAAAATAGCTATAATCATCCTCTTCTTGAGAAAGATTGCCAAATGTGTAGAAAGAAAAAAAAAAGGCCTACAAAATAATATTTGGCCAGTGGAAAGAAAGAAAACTTTATAAAACAAAAATATTTTTATGAAGACTGCAATTTAAATGTGGCAATTTTTATTAACATGTCATATTATTTCTTACATCTTTCTAATGAAATTATCTCTTGATGATACAGACTATTACTGTCTTTTTAGTTTTATCAGATTTTTACACACACAGTAACTGACTGAATATATCTGATGATAAGTATGAATCTGAAATACAACAGATTACGAGGTTTTCCTCCAGTATTTCACCAACACCCCATCACCATCACTAAATACCAAAAAGCACAAACATTTCTATTTTGGGGGATGAATGATTTACGATAGAGATATCTGACTGAGAAAGTTGTAATTACTTTCCCCAATCCAATAAAAAGTTTCAAAAATACATAGGGATTTATGCTGGGAAAATAAAATGAATTAAAATAGCTTCTCCTAAGGGCTGCAATCAGGGGTACATGAGATAATTTACATGAAAGCCCCTTCCAAATTATAAATGATGCATAAAGTCTATTTTCAATCCTAAAGGAAATCATCCCTGAATATTCATTGGAAGGACTGATACTGAAGCTCCAATACTTGGGCCAGTTGATGCAAAGAGCCAACTGATTGGAAAAGACACTGATGCTGGGAAAGGCTGAAGGCAGGAGGAGAAGGGGACGACAGAGGAAGAGATGGTTGGATGGCATCACCGACTCACGGGACATCAGTTTGAGCAAGCTCTGGGAGATGGTGAAGGGCAGGGAAGCCTGGCGTGCTGCAGTCCATGAAGTCACAAAGAATCAGACATGACCGAGCTGAGCGACTGAACAACAACAACAAAGGCTATTTATGATCTCCACCATAACATCATAACATCTCATTAAACTTCTCTTGTGATGATCTTTAGAATCATCGTGTTGCTCATTCTGCAGCATTATAACAGCTGTGCAAGAAGTTGATAACCTATGAACTATCCTAAAAGTTGATAAACACAAAATTTCAAAACAGCATTGAATTTTCATAAACTTTACAAGAAAATGAGGCACTGAAAATAATCTCAGGCAAATTCACCTCATGTGTATTACAGCAGCAATTTAGCACTACCCCTGCTCTCATTCCTGAGGAGTGAATCTGTTGGTTCTTGGCAGGATTTGATTTGCTTTTCTACGAAATGACTCTTTACATTTTATCTCCACCAGGGTTGGCAGGCGAAGCTACCAGAATCTCGGGCTGCAAGGGGCTGGAGTGCAGTTGCCATCATGGATGAGAAACTGCCAACCCTCTAACACAGAACACACCAGATCTCCACACTAGGCTCTAGAAGTTCTGGATTATGGGGGCTGAACAGTTTCTCAGGGAGGTGGCTGCAGATAAGGCATGACCTTGGGCATGTCAAAGTTCATGAGAATTTTTGACAACATGTGGTCTGCTTACCTACTCTCACATTGCCTTTTGATCATACCCTATACTCTCCAGTTCCTCCATACTGTTCATGAATTTTATTTTGAGATGCTGGAGATGAATTACAGCTGAGAACCCAGTGTGTGTGTATTTCATCTCTGTTCCTCCGTTCTCTCTCCTGAGGACCTGAGTGCCCTTGACCAGAGAAAAGCTGCCTTTAACTGGACCTGAAAACTTTCTAGCAGGTAACATTCAGGTTGGTCATGTTTAAATAAAGCATGGATACACACTAACAGGCAGAGCCCGCGAGGCAATGATGTGTGTTTCCCATCAGTGTGAATGAGGCTCAGTGGCAGGACAACCTAACTGGGACATGAGCTGGTTCTGGTTGTTAAGACACACTTATCATTAAAGAATAAAGGTGGCCAAGGGACTTCCCTGGTGGTCCAGTGGCTAAGACTCTGGGCTTCCAATGCAGGGTTTGATCCCTGGTTTGGGAACTAAGACCCCACATGCTGTGGGCAGCACTGCCCCCTAAATGGATAAATACATAAAGTGGAAATATTTTTTAAAATATATTAGAGGAAAAAAAAAAAAGAATAAAGGTGGCCAAGAATGTGTATTCTGGAGTTCACAGTCTGGATACACCATGCCCTGGGAGGTTAAACAAAGAACTTATATTTGAAAGTCTAAGCTCAAAGGAACATAAAGATGTACCATCCAAGGAGGGTGGGAGAGCAGATACAGAGAGAAAGTGATGAAAAAAAAAATAGAGCTGGGCTTCCCAGGACTACAAGGACAGGAGCTGATGGGCCCTGCATGTCGAGGGAGCTCCTAGGGTGTGGTGGGATAGTAGGAGTTGGCGCTGGGTGAAGGTATTTGCAGGAGGAGATCTGGAAAATACCAGAACCACTGGCTCGGAATGGAACTCAGGGTTTCAGACAAGGTGCATCGCCATGGTAACCATGAGAGTCTGGAGACCAGGGGCCCTTCCCTTCCCTAAATTTCCAGGACAGTGTAAACCTCAGGATTCTTGAACTTAATCAAAAGACTGGGACTGATCCCCACTCCTAACGACTGATATTTGATTTCCCACAGATTCTAGTAGGTGGGAACAATTCTAGATTCAATTTATTTTGCATAAACAAATGGGACATTTCCTGCACTCCAGGATCACTTCTGCAGAAGTGGCAATGATTTAGGTCTCTGTATTCCCAACATTCACAGAAAACCCATCACAAACAGGAAAAGAAGATGACCTAATGTGAATGCAGACCAGCTCCTGTCTGTCCTGACTTCTCTTAAGTTCTCGAAGAAAGGGATTAGAGTAAGTTATAGGACAAGTCTATGTACTGCAAGCTTAAAAAACATGGACTCTTTGAGTGGACTTGCTTTGAAGGCTCAGCTCAAGAATATTAAAAATATCTCAACATCAAAACAAGTTTTCCCTGGAAATACATATATTTTACAGTATTAGTAGTGCTTTTCTGTGCCTGTTAACTAGAAGAACTGAGTGTCAGAGCTTTGACTAGGAGCCTGGGGGAAAGCTACTCCCAAAATCTACACTGAATATTCTACTTTTAGAACCTCATGCCTATTCTTAGAGGTGTAGAAAGTGTGTGTGGGGTGGGGGGTTGCCTTCAGCTGATACTGTCAGAGAACAGTTCTGGTGAAACTTAGTGTTAAAATAGCCAACGTCCTTTTTGTCTGAACTGCGTAATGTTCAGTTGCGGCTCCCCCCTCCCCTTCTATCCCTTCTTACCACTGGTGTTTTTTTGCCTGAAAGTTTGGCCCATAATTTCACAAAGTAGTTTCTGTCTGCAAAATCCAGGGACTCAAACTCATTTGAAACTCTTAACTTCCTAGAAATCTTTTCAGGTTTCAGCTGAGGTTTCTTAATATCTCCTAGGGAAAAAAAAATAAGGTTTAAAATAAAAGGCATAAAATAGGATACAACAACTTTAAAAAAAAAAAGAATAAAGGTGGCCAAGAATGTGTATTCTGGAGTTCACAGTCTGGATACACCATGCCCTGGGAGGTTAAACAAAGAACTTATATTTGAAAGTCTAAGCTCAAAGGAACATAAAGATGTACCATCCAAGGAGGGTGGGAGAGCAGATACAGAGAGAAAGTGATGAAAAAAAAAATAGAGCTGGGCTTCCCAGGACTACAAGGACAGGAGCTGATGGGCCCTGCATGTCGAGGGAGCTCCTAGGGTGTGGTGGGATAGTAGGAGTTGGCGCTGGGTGAAGGTATTTGCAGGAGGAGATCTGGAAAATACCAGAACCACTGGCTCGGAATGGAACTCAGGGTTTCAGACAAGGTGCATCGCCATGGTAACCATGAGAGTCTGGAGACCAGGGGCCCTTCCCTTCCCTAAATTTCCAGGACAGTGTAAACCTCAGGATTCTTGAACTTAATCAAAAGACTGGGACTGATCCCCACTCCTAACGACTGATATTTGATTTCCCACAGATTCTAGTAGGTGGGAACAATTCTAGATTCAATTTATTTTGCATAAACAAATGGGACATTTCCTGCACTCCAGGATCACTTCTGCAGAAGTGGCAATGATTTAGGTCTCTGTATTCCCAACATTCACAGAAAACCCATCACAAACAGGAAAAGAAGATGACCTAATGTGAATGCAGACCAGCTCCTGTCTGTCCTGACTTCTCTAAATTCTCGAAGAAAGGGATTAGAGTTAAGTTATAGGACAAGTCTATGTACTGCAAGCTTACAAAACATGGACTCTTTGAGTGGACTTGCTTTGAAGGCTCAGCTCAAGAATATTAAAAATATCTCAACATCAAAACAAGTTTTCCCTGGAAATATATATATTTTACAGTATTAGTAGTGCTTTTCTGTGCCTGTTAACTAGAAGAACTGAGTGTCAGAGCTTTGACTAGGAGCCTGGGGGAAAGCTACTCCCAAAATCTACACTGAATATTCTACTTTTAGAACCTCATGCCTATTCTTAGAGGTGTAGAAAGTGTGTGTGGGGTTCGGGGGGGGTGTCTTCAGCTGACACTGTCAGAGAACAGTTCTGGTGAAACTTAGTGTTAAAATAGCCAATGTCCTTTTTGTCTGAACTGCGTAATGTTCAGTTGCGGCTCCCCCCTCCCCTTCTATCCCTTCTTACCGCTGGTGTTTTTTTGCCTGAAAGTTTGGCCCATAATTTCACAAAGTAGTTTCTGTCTGCAAAATCCAGGGACTCAAACTCATTTGAAACTCTTAACTTCCTAGAAATCTTTTCAGGTTTCAGCTGAGGTTTCTTAATATCTCCTAGGGAAAAAAAAATAAGGTTTAAAATAAAAGGCATAAAATAGGATACAACAACTTTCTGAAGTGAGGGAAATGTTTTATATCTGGATTTGCTCAAACACAACAAAGTGTATACTTGAAGTCTGTGTGTGTCAACTTGAAAGTAAGATAACTAAAAATATGTCTCAAGAGTACAATAATAATTATTACTGAAAATTATAAAGGTAGTCCACATCACCTAGTAGAAACGTTCTGGGAGTATACTTTGTGTTTGATCAGTAAAGACTTACGAATGGAATTAAAGGCTTCCAGATACTTAACTGAAAAGTCCCTTTTATAATTACTTTCCTTTTGACAAAATTGTCCTAAAAGGCTAAAATAACAATAAACATGCAATGCTAACAATAATAGTCATAATAAACACACAATGCTAAGAAAAAACTTAAAAAGAATGGAATGGATGATGAGGTCACTATTTAGCAGAATTTATACATAAATGTCTAAAGTTTCCTTTGAAACATTACAATGTCCATAGACCTAGAATATAAAGAATCTAAATTTCTATTGCTGCTCATGTGTCATGGGGCCAAGTGTAAATACTTTTGGATGTATTAGGAATATCACCATTTTCAGTATTGCTATAAAGATGCCAAAATAAATCATCTCCATAGTACCAATACGGCTGACTGAACAGATGTGGGAAGCGAGCCCCAACTCAAGACAAAATTGCATAGTGGATAAAATATAACAGAAGTGTGTTTTTAACACAGAGCAAAACTGAAATTAAGAAAGAAACATTTTCAGGTACTGGAAGTGAAGATTCCAAGTCAGAGCAAAAGACATTGACACCAAGAGGTCAGAATGTTTTGGGCCTGAGGTTTCTGGACTGAGAGGCAAGGCCAGTCGCTGTGTGCTTCATGGATAAGACCTGGGCTCTTTATTAGGTGGGAAGTTGGAAAAGGCGTGTCTGGAAATCTCAGGACTTAGTCTGGGCACAGGCTCACCTACACCGAGGATGGAAACACCCATGGAAAATCAGACCTTTAATTCTGGGCTGTGTGCTGGTACAGAATCTGAACTCGAGCTCCAACCAAATTGCATGCAATCCCCACCGCAGCCAACAAAAAAAAAAGCAAGGTAAAAGCTGTTGCAGACAAATAAGTTTTTAACCACGGTAGGGAAGTCTAAAGCTCCACAATTCAGCACCTGTCTTGAAGGGGAGAGACTGAGAAGATGTAACAAATACATGAATCCACACCCAAGGAATTCCAGGTGACAGAGCACTGGAAAAGGGACACTGAAGTAATTAAGTTTTTAACAATCACAGAGATAACAGGAGACAATCGTTATGTGGAAACATCCTCTATTCAGTCTTCCTGATGGAAAAGCCATCCAACTCATATTGGTTGAGCACCTACTATGTGCCAGACCGCGCACTGAATGTTGGGGATAGAGCAGTAAATAAAGTGTCCTTGACCTGTGGGATTTACATGTTCATGTTGGAGACAGACAGCTAACATACCAGATAATGTCAGGTGGTGATAAGCGCAATGAAGGTCCAGGAAGGTAGAAAGGAGGCAGAGTGAGGGATAGCGTGATGGTCAAAGGAAGTCCTCCTAAGGAGGTGACATCTGCACAGTGGTCTAAAGTTATAAAGGAAGGCATTCCAATACCTTGATACCTTTGATATGGGACAAAAGCATATCAGGCAGAGAGAATGGCTTTGTATAAACACCCAGAAGCATGCTTAACACAACTGAATTACAGTAAAGAATTCAGCATGGCTGAGGCAAGGCAAACAAAACAAAAAGAGCGGAAGGGCTGACTGAATCCTATATTCATTAAAACAAACAAAACCCAAAATATTTGTTCTCTTGATGAGACTCTTAGAGCATTGTAAAGAAAAAAAAAAAAGAATAGAGCATTGTGAAAAAGATCAGATGAATCTGAAAAAAAAAAAAGATGAAATTTAAAGAAACAGAAGCTATAATTTCCATAGAAATGATCCTCTCTATATAAAAGCTTACTTAATGTATAGTATTTGTGTCAGGGTCCCTTCTTCCAGCTTTCTCACCCATAAGTCAATTGTACCATAATGTAAACAAACCAAGTTCTGTCCAATGATACAATGGAGCTATAATTCAACAGATAAATGTCTTAATGATTTCTCAGCAACAAGACATTCTGGGTAAAGATAATGTGTTTAGATTACTATTATACTACATTGAAATGCCACTACTTTCCAGACTTGGACTCCTATAGTAAAGAGTTTCATACAGTTCTTAATATAGTTTCAAATGTCTTGATACATTAATGAACAAGATATATTACTTTTCAGTTATTAAAAAAATCATAATTACTGGTTATAATACCCTGCAACAAAGTTTCTTAAAGTGATGTTATTCAAAGTATCTAAATTAAAGTCAAACTTGAGGCAACATTAAATTATATATATATAAGTCATTGTACAGTCCACAAAAATTACCAAGTTCTTCAGTATATAAGCTATTATATTTACTTAAACACCTACAATGAAGCATAAATGAGTTTACTGATGCATAGCAGATTTTCAAGTTATTTTATGGATTGGTATCATTACCAAATACAGGAAAATATAAATGAAATATCTGGAACAACCAGAACTATATCTCAAATGAATTCAAAATAACTTAGACTTTATTTAGAATTACACCCTTTTGCAGTGAATTAAAATAATATTTATATAAGATGTTTAAAAAATGAGCACAGAATCCAACCAAATAATGAATTCAGTAGAAGCCATGTACGTAAGATAAAACATTTGTGTATATTTCATAACACATTATTACACAAATGAAATAAGACCTTGTACTGCAAAAAAAGATGGAAGGAAAAAATGTTGATGATCTGATATCATAGGCACATAGTCATTTTAATAACTGGTAATAAAATTAGAATTTGGGAGTCAGATTGCAAATATTTTTAAAAATAAAAATCCCTATTTCAATAACCAATTTTTCTATGGCTGTTAAGATTGCTTGTTTAGCAAAGCAACTAAGTCACTCTATCGTCTAAAGCCATGAGACTGAACACTTTTTTTTTTTCTCTTTCTTTTTGGCTGTGCTGGGTCTTCACTGCTGCACGGGCTTTTCTAGTTGCGGAGAGTAGAGGCTACGCTCGAGCTGTGTACATCTCACTGTGGTGGCTTTTCTGTTGCAGAGCATGGGCTCTGAGACGCAAGGGCTTCAGTAGTTGTGGCACATGGGCTTAGTTGCAGCTCCTCGGCTCCAGGGCACAGGCTTAGTTGCTCCGCAGGATGTGGGATCTTCCCAGACCAGGGATTGAACTCATGTGTCCTGCACTGGCAGGCAGATTCTTCACCCTGAGCCAGCAGGGAAGCTCCTGAACACTTTTAAGTATACACATTTTTTAAAACAGTTAAATAAAACTTTGCAACAACAACAAAATAAATGAATCGGCACCAGAGTTTGTCTCTCTTTGAAAACACATGGAAAACAAAAAAAAAAAAAGAAAACACATGGAAACGTATGACTTGGAAGTAGGCTTTAATTTTCACACAAAAGTCCTCAGACAGTCAGAATCATTCCTTTCTTTCCCCACTCCAATGGGGCTTAAAAAACATGTTTATTTTGGTAGGAGTGACGTTTTTTTTTTTAATTAGCAAGAGTAATATATGCCTACCATGATTAAATACATATACATATGTAAAATGCAAATAGCTACAAAAATCTCTGTGAAAGTTTCAATGCTGAAATATGTAACCATAAAAAGGACCAGAAACAAATTAAAGCGCAATAATCTGCTACACAATTTTAAATATTTATTTATTTATTTTTAATAGGCTAGTTACACAATTTGTAGTGGAAAATTGCTCAGTGCATTAGAAAGTATTAACAAAAAACCAATGGGGCTGAAAGAAGCCATTTTTTTCCAGGACAGATTTAAATCTTAAAAGTCTTGTCATCAGTTCTTCTGAGAAAGGAATAATTGCAACTAGAAAAACAATCACTTCCCATAATATCCATAATAATTTTCCATAGCAAAATAAGCTTTTGTTGTAGAAAGCTATGAGTCTAAAAATATAGTAATAATGTTCATGTTATGCATGATAAAATGAATACTGTACTAAACTATTCTAACAGTAAAGTGCTAAATTCTTTAGTGTCCAATCAAAGGAATAAGCAGTTACTTAAACAGAGAACAGATTTTATATCATAAAAGAAAGCATGTGAATGTATCTTCTAAGACAGAAATTATAAGGTACAAAAAGAATGCTTCTATCCACTGAACTCCATACTTTGAAATATCTTCAGCAGAGTTGAACTAATGGGTTCAGTATTTGGACACTGTATCCAGAATGTCCTAAATGAAACATGTAATAACACTACCCTGAATTTCAGGGTTTTTTAAAATGGATGAGTTTATCAGGAAGTAGTCAAATGACACTTTGAAGGAGATAAAATGTAGGGAAGATAAATTCAAGAGTGGAAATTATGAATAAAATCTAGATGTGTATAGTATTTGGGAAAAGGAGAGGAGAAGGAAAGAGTAGCTATGGCTGGCAGGAAATAGGATAAAAACCTGCAGGAAGCTTGAACACAGATTAAAGGTTTCTTCTCCTTGGATAAATTTCTGATGTGATTTCTGCCCAATCCTACATCCCACCTTGACTAAGTGCGGTCTCTGCTTGCAAGGGCTCAACCTTTAAGAACAACATTTTCAAAGATGTTGTTTCACTGATCACTTCTCAAGCAAATACATCTTTCTTTTATTTCTTACCTTTGCTATCTTTGTCCCTGTAAACTAAGGGACTTTAGATCTAGTAGCTCATAGAAGCCAGTCTTTGCTTCAATTTACCACAAAGAGAAACCAAAATACCCACTGTCTGGTAGTTTCTCCCTCAATCATATACCTTGATGGCATTTATGATTTAACCAACCTGAAACGTGGAATATAAATGCCTTTGATATTATCAATGACATAATAATGGCAAAAAAATATAGATAACATTTACTGAGCAC